AACAAAACAAAACTGGCTGGGCACAGGAGCTTATTCCCAGTCCCAGAACTTTGGGAGGCCAAGGTGGGAGCATCACATGAAGCCAGCAGTTTGAGACCAGCCTGGGCTTTATAAATAGTGAGACCCTATCTCTACAGAAAATTTTTAAAAAGAAAATTAGCCAGGGATGATGGTGCATGTCTACAGTCTTAGCTACTTGGAAGGCTGAGGTGGGAGGATCATTTGAGCCCAGGAGGTCAAGGCTGCAGTAAGCCATGATCACACCAATGTACTACAGCCTGGGCGATAGAAAGAGACTCTGTTTCCAAAGTAATAATAATAATTTAAAAATTAAAAAAATTTTTTAAAGAAAAACTGAAGAGATGTATGCATACACATCGCATATGTATGCACGTACACATATATAACACTACATGTATACCTGAAGGGTTTGGGGATTTTTGCTTTTTTGAGGCAGAGTTTCGCTCTTGTTGCCCAGGCTGAAGTGCAAGATCTCGGCTCACCACAACCTCCACCTCCTGGGTTCAAGGGATTCTCCTGTCTCAGCCTCCTGAGTAGCTAGGATTACAGGCACATGCCACCACGCCCAGCTAATTTTGTATTTTTAGTAGAGACAGGGTTTCGCCATGTTGGTCAGGCTGGTCTCAAACTCCTGACCTCATAATCCACCCGCCTCAGCCTCCCAAAATGCTGGGATTGTACTAGTGAGCCACTTCACCCAGCTTGGAGTTTTTTGTTTTTATAGAGATGGGGTCTGGCAGGACGGGCGCGGTGGCTCACGCCTGTAATCCCAGCACTTTGGGAGGCCGAGGCGGGTGAATCACAAGGTCAAGAGATCGAGACTACCCTGGTCAACATGGTGAAACCCCGTCTCTACTAAAAATACAAAAATTAGCTGGGCATGGTGGCGCACGCCTGGTAGGCTGAGGCAGGAGAATTGCTTGAACCCAGGAGGCGGAGGTTGCAGTGAGCCGAGATCGCACCATTGCACTCCAGCCTGGGTAACAAGAGTGAAACTCCGTCTCAAAAAAAAAAAAAAAAAAAAGAGATGGGGTCTCGCCATGTTGCCCAGGCTGGTCTCAAAATTCTGGGCTCAAGCAATTTTTCTGCCTCAGCCTCCCAAAATGCTGAGATTATAGGCATGAGCCACTCACCACCCACAACCACATGAAATTTTACACTCATCAAATGCTTATGCTGATTTAATTATGCAGGAAACACAAGACTAGAAAAGTCAAGAACTAAACTCATATACAAAGAGACATAAGAAACTAATAAAACTGCATTTCCTATGAATCCAGTACATGAATTTAGCTTATTTCATTAGCACAGAGCACTGTGACTTTAGTTCCTGAAAAAAAGGCCCAGGAGGCAGGGTGGGGTGGCTCATGCTTACAATCCCAGCACTTTAGGTGGGGGGGGGAGGGGTAAGGAGTTTGAGACCAGCAACATAGCGAGACACCACCTCCTTAAAAATAAAAAAGGCAGTTTTAACTATCATTAACATTTATTGTATATCACACATTTTAGACTCTAGCATTTAAAGGAAAACTTCTCTGTCAAATTTTACATGATTTTTGAGAACATTTAAAACAGTATGAAGTAAAGACAAAAAGCATTTCAAGAAGCAAAACACAGTGGAAAGCTTCCACAACAAATTGGAGCTTCTTGGTTTCTGTAGGTATTTCTTAAAAATTGTAGTAAGGCTTACAATGAGAATTACTTGGGAAGAGAAAACATGTATGTAAGAAGAATGTGGCATCCTCCCACCTGGTGAGGGGAGATGAAACTCCACTAATATTGTGCTAGGCACTTTAATATCTGCCATTCATTCATACAGCAAATACTCATTAATGCCCATTAAGTGCCAGGCATTTCGAAGACACAATCCTGTTTACATGCACCTTACTATCAGATGAGACTGGGACCAGACACATTAAGAAAAATTACCAAGTTTGTTATTATATGTATTGTTATTATAACTATTGTTATGATAAAAGCTACAACAAATACAGTATGTGAGAAGAGCAGAGGGGCAAGCTGGGAGGTTAGGGAAGATCTGAAGAAACAAGAGGGAGGAAGAGGAGTGCATTCCAGATGTTCTATCATTTAATCCCTACAATTCTGGATTAAGTACCTTTCCCAAGGTCACAGGACTATTAAGTGTCTGAGCCAAGCTTTGAGAGCAGATTTTGAGACTAGAGGCTTGCTCTGTCGCCCAGGCTTACTGCAACCTCTGCCCTCTAGTTTCAAGCAATTTTCCTGCCTCGGCCTCCCAAGTAGCTGGGAGTACAGGCACCTGCCACCACATCTGGCTAATTTTGGTATTTTTAGTAGAGACGGTTTTTTACTATGTTAGCCAGGCCGGTCTTGAACTCCTGACCACAAGTGATCGGCTCACCTAAGCCTCCCAAAGTGCTGGAATTACAAGCGTAAGCTGCCACGCCTGGTCTGAGACCAGATTTAAATGACTTCAAAGTCCATGCTTCCACTGTGCCATGCTGCATCTTCCCAAATGGCTACTTCTCCCCAAACCATTTCCTCTTAAAGTTCATTGAAGAATGTTGACTCTACCCCAGATTCTAAGTGCCAAAATTAGACTCTCTCCTCCAGACTAGGCCCTTAGTTTTTCACATGCTACCTCCAAACTCATTTTCTCATACCCTTTGATTTGGGACGCTTAATAAACAATTTTTTCACCCAGACTATATCCATGTACAAAAACACTACCACAAAGTATCAGAGTTTTTTAAAGGTTATTACTTACTTGTACAACAAATAAAATAACTTTATTTTTTTTTTTGAGATGGAGTCTCACTCTGTCACCAGGCTGGAGTACAGTGGTGCCATCTCAGCTCACTGCAATCCCTGCCTCCCGGGTTCAAGCAATTCTCCTGCCTCAGCCCCCTAGGTAGTTGGGACAGTTGTTTTGTATTTTTAGTAGATACAGGGTTTCACCATGCTGCCCAGACTGGTCTCGAACTCCTGACCTCAAGTGATCCACCTGCCTCGGCATCCCAAAGTGCTGGGATTACAGGCGTGAGCCACCATACCAGGCCAATAAAATGACTTTCTGGCAGACAGTTTTGCAAAGTTATTCACAGATTATAGGGCGCAAAACTAAGGACACTGGTCAGGACAACAACTGAGAAAATAAAAGCAACTACAAAAAGGGCAAAGAAAACGCCACACTTTCACTTCTGGAATGACTTTCACATTCAATAGCTCTCATCTGTGATTCAGATCTCGACTTAGGAGAGCGTCTCTTTCCCTTCTTCCTGTTCCTACTTCCTCTTTCTCAGCTCTTCCATTTTTAGGAATATCAAACTTCAAAACAAGACTTCTATTACATTAGATCTGTTGTGAGTTATAGCAACAGAACAGTCATAAAAAAAACTAAATTTGGGAAGCTCCCCTTTCCTCTACATTCTTCCTGTGACTTTTAATGCCGACTGAGCAACATAAAAGCTAGATCTGTGAACCTAAGATTCGTCACAAGCTGATTATAAACTACTAGATACAGTTATGCTTCACTGAACGACAGGGATATGGGCTGGGAAATGCCTGGTTAGGTGATTTTTGTCTTGCAAACATCATAGGGTGTACTTAAACGAACCTAGATGCTATAGCCTACTAAATGCCTAGGCTATATGGTGTACACTACAGTAACATGCTATACAAATTTGCAGCCTAGGAGCAATAGGCTGTTGCATGTTACTGTATTGAGTACCGCAGGCAACTGTAACACAATGGTAAGTATTTGTGTAGGCATATCTAAACATAGAAAAGATACAGTAAAAATATGTACTACAATCTTGTGAGACCACCTCTTCTATGCAGTCCTGGGGCAGTGCGTTGACTGTAATACTTTGCTCTCCCCTTTCTAAAAGGTAGCAGATTTTTTTTTTTTTTTTTTAAGTTTCTACAAAGCCCTCAACCTTCTACCTTTATATCTGAGCTACCACCAATACTGCGAATAACACGCTGGCTATGAAAATCAGACTTCCACAGACTCAGCCAGAGTTATACACCCAAAAATCTCTCACGACTTTCAGTTTAAAAATATATCTACAAATATAGACAGGAAGATGGGGAGAGAGAGCGTGAGTGCCAGTGCCAGACGCTAACCATGTGAAGAAAGATGAATGATAAGCTGTGGCTTACAGAAGCAAAAACTAATTTGGAAAAAGAACTCAACACTCAAATGTCTGGTGCGTTTCTTCATCCCTAGGAACAAACAGTAACTAATGGCAAGACCCTCAAGTACAGGATAAGTAGTATGGAGCCCGAGGATTCCAAATACTCTCCAAGAAGCTACATCGCTCAATTTCTTGAAGCCTGGGGCTACTTTGCAAAGTTAACAAGGCAAAGACGTTGGAAGACCTAATTATATTAATATATTGTTCAGGGCACTTATGGATTATTTGGAGCAATGGACACTATGTAAATCAAAAACATTACCATATCAATAATTAATATAGGGTTTATAAGGTGAGTTTATATTTTGGGATTCTCTGGTAGTGGTAGTTTACAATATAATTATATACACAGTGTATAGTCTGATGAATTTCCTCACTGAGGGTAAACTGCTGCGAAATGTTTTATTATTCGTTTATTGCTAGTCACGTTGTTCACACAACACGCCTATAAGTAGCGTTCCCTTTGAACTGTACTGTTACTAGACTGTCCTGTGTTGTACCATCGAAAACCATCGTCCAACATGCTCTTTCCCCAGGATTGGCCTGAAGCACACGAGTGGAACACTGCATAGAAGAACTTTTATATAATAAAAGTACTGAACGTCTCCGGCCCTTAATATCCAGAGCACCCACCCCTGGTAAATGACAAAGGCAGTAACCAATCGCCAGGCAGGATCCTAGTGACTTAGCCAATAAGAATATGAGGGTGGGGCTAGGCTAAGCTGCCGGTGGCTTCCCCGCACCCCAGAGACCCCGGCTGTGGGAGGCTGGACAGGAATTGGACTCCGAGGATTTCGTTACCCCCGGTTGTAGCTGTTGTCCTCCTCATTCTCGCAATCGCTGCAGTGCTCATGGCCGTTCCCGTTCCCTTCCATCATCTGCGGCAGCGGAGGTGCCGGCGGCTTCACTGCTGTCTCACTCTCGTCCGCCATCTTGAGTTGCGAGAGCCGGGCTCCGCGCCCCGCTACATGGGGTGTTCCTATTGGACAAGGGGGGTTGGCGCTGCATTCTGGGTTTTGTAGTTTTTCTGGAGAAGGGAGCTGCCACTAGGAGCGACTCTTACCCAGACAACTGACTACAATACCCAGGTATCGCGAGGGGCGGCTCCGTTCGGGTCAAGGGGCGGGGCCACTAATACCCGGAAGCCTAGGCGTTCGGCCACGCTTTGTGGAAAGAAGGGACGCAAGGTTGGTGGGACCAACTCTTCGGAGCCGGGAGGCCGCCTGGCATGTTGGGAGTTGTAGTTCGCTGCTGGTTTAGCGTGTCTGGCGTGGAAGTTCCAAAATCCAAGGTTTGATTTCAACCTGCCCTTGCCAGTGCCTGGGCCTCTGGGAACCGTTATTGGCTGCCGTTAAGGACCGTTACCTTTCCCGGGTAAGTGAAAGGGCCTGAGGCCCGCGGGTGCGACCCGCCTGGAGCCCGAATGCCCCGGGCCTTCTTGGAGTGGGCTTTTCTGCAAGAAGCCGTGTTGGCTCCTGGCCGCCTTCACTCGCCTGGGCAACCCCCGGTCGTTGGCAGTTCAAGGTCTCATGAGAGCCAGTGGATTGTTGTGTGCGGAGCACTGACCCTAAGCCAGTAGACCAGACTCTGCTAGGGAGGCTGAGCTCGCCGCCGCATCTTGGCCTCCAGGTACTGATCTCCGCCAAGCTCTTTCGCGCACACATCGTCCTTTTAATTCCCCACAAGTTTTCCACAACCTTTTTTTTTTTTTTTTTTTTTTTTTTTTTTTTTTTTTAAATAGGGTCGCCCTCTGTCGCCCAGGCTGGAGTGCAGTGCGCGAGATCACGACTCACTGCAGCCTCAACTTCTGGGCTCAAGCTATCCTCTCACCTCAGCCTCCCGAGTAGCTAGTACTACAGGCGTGAGCCACCACACCTAGATAATTCTTGAATTTTTTGTGGAGACCAGGGTCTCACCTTGTTGTCTAGGATGGTCTTGAACTCCTGGCCTCTAGAGATTCTCCTACCCCGGTCCCCCAATTACTGTCGTGAGACACGGCACCCAGCCCACATTGACTCTTCAAGGAGTTCTTATATGCCAGGCTCTGTGGTAAGGCTTTTCGTACATTATCTCATTTAAGTCTCTCAACAAGCCTCCAATATAGGTGCTATTATTATTTACTTTCTTTTTTTTTTTTTGAGACGGAGTGTCGCTCTGTTACCCAGGCTGGAGTGCAGTGGTGCAATCTCGGCTCACCGCAACCTCCACCTCCCAAGTTCAAGCGACTCTCCTGCCTCAGCCTCCTGAATAGCTGGAATTACAGGCACACACCACCATGCCCAGCTAACTTTTGTATTTGTAGTAGAGACGGGGTTTTACCATGTTGGCCAGGCTGGTCTCGGAACTCCTGACCTCATGATCCGCCCACCTCAGCCTCTCAAAGTGCTGGGATTACAGGGGTGAGCCTCTGCGCCTGGCCATCTTCACCTTTTTGACAGATGAAAAAATGTTGCCCTGAGAGGTTGGTAAATTGCACAATCACTTGGCTGGTTAAGTGGCAGATCTGTATACAAATCTGGATCTGTCTGTCCTAGGCCCTCTGAATTCTTTGCCATCATAAAAGTCCCATTTTCGGATACACTATTCACTCAAGGAAATCAGTTACTAGAAGGTAACTGTGACTCCAGTGTGTATTCTATGTCAAGGGAAAAAGGCAACTGCCCATTTTAATCTGTTTTTAGCCCTGATTGAATGTTTCAGTCCCTCAGTCTCACTCTTGTGATTGCGTAATCTCACCTGAATCCGGAGAAGAGTGCCCAAAGATGGGATTCTCATTCTTGGAAATTTCCTATTCAGGGTGGGTGTGGTGGGTGGTGAGGGGACTAATTCTTACCATCAGTGCGCTCCATGGCCAAAAAGGAAATGAGCTTTGCCTTTGGGAAAGATCTTAACATGAGAAGAGTGGCAGGGCTGGCAGAAACAGTTCCCATCTGACTCAGAGAAAGAAAACACAAATAAAACACAGAGCTAAATATAGTCAACTCTGTTTTGATATCAGTGGCATAAGCATACGTAATTATGATCCAAAGCAGCAGATAACCCCCAGTCATTTATTTTTTGACTTTGGAAGGCAGTCAAAGATGCCCACTCAGTCTGAGAGCTGTCACCACCCTCAACTCTCTGGGGCCCAAGACTGCTGTTCTACGCAATTGCCCTATTTACAGCTTCAGGGAAGGGGAGGTCAGAGATGATAATAATGATAATAAAGCCAGGCCAGGCGCAGTACCTCACACCTGCAATCCCAACACTTTGGGAGGCCGAGGTGGGTGGATCACCTGAGGTCAGGAGTTTGAGACCAGCCTGGCCAACATGGAGAAACCCTGTCTTTGCTAAAAATACAAACATTAGCTGGGTGTCGGGGGGCACACCTGTAATCCCAGCTACTCTAGAGGCTGAGGCTGAGTACCAGGTACTGTGCTTGACCCCACAATATCTTGTTAAAATTAACATAACATTTTGGTCAGGCACAATAGCTAATGCCTGTAATCTGAGCACTTTGGCAGGCTGAGGTAGGCAGATCACTTGAGGTCAGGAGTTTGAGACCAGCCTGGCCAATGTAGCGATACCCTGTCTCTACAGAAAATAAAAAAATTAGCTGGGCTTAGTGGTGGGTGCTTGTGATCTCAACTACTTGGGAGGCTGAGACACGAGAATCACTTGAACCTGAACCTGGGAGGTGGAGGTTGCAATAAGCTGAGATTCTGCCACTGTACTCCAGCCTGGGCAGCAACGTGGGACTCTGTCTCAAAAAAATAAAAATTAAAAATAAAAAGATACTGTGTATATGTGATTACTCTTTTTTTTTTGGACACGGAGTCTTACTTTGTTACTCCCGTTGGAGTGCAGTGGGCCAATCTCGGCTCACTGCAACCTCCGCCTTTCAGGTTCAAGCGATTCTTCTGCCTCAGCCTCCCAAGTAGCTGGGATTACAGGTGCCTGCCAGCACACCTGGCTAATTTTATACTTTTAGTAGAGATGGAGTTTCACCATGTTGGCGAGGCTGGTGTCAAAATCCTGACCTCAGTTGATTTGTCCACCTCATCCTCCCAAAGTGCTGGTACTATAGACGTGAGCCACTGCACCTGGCCTGTGATTACTTTTTTTTTTTTTTGTAAGGTGGAATCTTGCTCTATCACCCAGGCTGGAGTGCAGTGGCATGATCTCGGCTCACTGCAACCTCTGCCACCCGGGTTCAAGCAATTCCCCTGCCTCAACCTCCCTAGTAGCTGGGACTATAGGTGCATGCCACCATGCCCAGCTAACTTTTTGTATTTTAGTAGAGACAAGGTTTCACCATGTTGCCCAGAGTGGTCTTGAACTCCTGAGCTCAGGCAATCTGCCCGACTCAGCCTCCCAGGGTGCTGGGATTACAGGTGTGAGCTACCGCGCCCAGACCTGTGATAACTTTCTTTAAATGGCCACTTGGTAATATTGCCACATTTCATTTTGATGCCTAAATTTACATTTGGGTTTACGGTTACATTGGTATGGAATGATCACTCAAAGCAAAACAGTGTAGAGTTTCCTAAATTGTATGGATGTCTTCTCAGAGTTCCAGGAGTTCTCATATTTGTTCCTCTCCACTCCCCATAAGAGACAGCTTTCCACTTTTTTTTTTTTTTTTTTTTTTTTTTTTTTTTTGAGATGGGGTTTTGCTCTTGTCTCCCAGGCTGGGGTGCAATAGCTCAATCTCCACTCACTGCAACCTCCGCCTCCCAGGTTCAAGCGATTCTCTTGCCTCAGCCTCTCAAGTTGCTGGAATTATAGGTGCCTGCCACCACGCCCAGATAATTTTTGTATTTTTAGTAGAGACAGGGTTTCACCATGTGGGATCCTCCTGGGGCAGAGGTGCAGCTGCTTTTGGCAGACTGGACCACAAGGATACCTCCTTAGAAGACAAGGCTCTCACTTGTACATGAATAGTTATAATACAGTATGGCAGTATCTGAGAAAAGTAGGATCATCTGGAGTTTCCTCACACTGTGTCCCAGGAAGATCCAGATAATCTGGAGATACAGGACAGGCCTGGCCCTATCCCTGCCTTGGCCAGTCATGGTCACTAATGGGAATCTGGGTATCCCTTGGATGTGTCAGGAGAAGGGAAAAGGTTGAGAACCACAGGACTAGATTATTCATGTGTTGTTTGATCAAGAGGGGAATTGAGCCATTAGATCTGGCTCTATAGAGTAGGAATTAGATTTGTTCTGCATGGCCCCACGGTTTAAGACAGAGATATTATCAAAAAACTTTCTAACTGCCAGGACTGGACTTTAAAAATAACTGTTGCCGGGTGCAGTGGCTCATGCCTGTAATCACAGCACTTTGGGAGGCCAAGGTGGGCAGATCACAAGGTCAGGAGATTGAGACCATCCTGGCTAAGATGGTGAAACCCTGTCTCTACTAAAAATACAAAGAATTAGCTGGGCACGGTGGCACACACCTGTAGTTCCAGCTACTCGGGAGGCTGAGGCAGGAGAATGGCTTGAACCCAGGAGGTGGAGGTTGCAGTGAGCCAAGATCGAACCACTGCACTTCAGCCTGGGTGACAGAGTGAGACTCCATCTCAAAAATAAGCAAATAAATAAAGAACTGTCTTGAGTGGCAATGAGTTCCCCAACATGTGACATGTACGTGAATAGATGGCGGAGATCATGTGGAAGAGATTCAAATACTGGCACAGTATTTGGACTAAATGGCTTTTTTGGATACAAGACGGAATCCTATTTATTGGGTTATGGCAGTAGGTCTCCTTGACTGTTGAAGTCAGGAAGAAAGCTTTCAGAGACTGAGGTGATCTGAGAAAGATGTTAAATTACTTCATTCCTCAATATATTGAATCCCTCTTTTGCAGGGCATTGGGTATTGGAGTGGTAGATGGACAAGATTCCTACCTTAAAGTAGAGAACAGAAATACAGTTTAAGGAGAGGGAAGGGAGGCAGGGTAGGTGTTAATTTAAAAC